TTTAAAAATTGATAATAAAAAAATTTTATTGCACAGAAAAGAGAATAATTTGCAGTCATTTGCAGAAAGTTTTCATCTTTTTAGTTTCTTTTGTTTCATTGAATCTTCATTCATAAGCAGAAGAGCTAAAAAGAAAGATTTCATTTCTATTCTTCAAAAACATTCCTGCAGAAGACATCATCATTATTATTATCATTCATTATCATCATTTTCGTTTTATTTAAAGATGAATAAGAAGCATTAAGCTGTGATTTGTCTTATTATGGATTTTCGTTCACTGAATTAAAAAAGACAATTTTCAAGCTCAGCAATTTTTATGTCAATCGATTTGGAATTATTGTTGGGAAGTGCAGAGTTGTTGAATTAGTGAATGGTTGGGCTAGAAAATTTAACATACACGATAGAGGTCGTTAAAAACTAGTTCATTTATACAGTCGCTTATCAACCATTATATCCCATAATAAAATCTTATCCTATCTGATTTAGATGCACTTAATGTGACCCCTTGTCTGTCTGCCCATGAAGTAAAATTCACAAAAAATGATCACATGAACATCAACTCTCATTGGATTTACTAAAAGATTTTAAGTACAAATTTGAATACATCAGTATCATCCGTTAATTGCTTTGTTTTCCTTTCATTATGCTAAGAAGATTTGCAAATTCTTAAGTTACTTAATAGAATTAGACTCAATTACGGTTTTAGTGTGGACTTAAAATACGAAAGTATCTTTCATGACCTCAAATTAAAAACTCAATGAATTTCCCATGAAAAAATACGTCATCAACATAACGTCACACAAGAAAACGATGACTCAAAATTCTTCAAGAGAAATCCCTTAGTATCAAGCATACCACGCACATCCATTATGTCGAATAATTGTGCATAAACATACTTTTTATTATTCCTCTCTTTTCTCTTCGTTATTAAACATTTAATTCGCGAATGAGTCACAACATCTTCCAATTATCAGCCCACAACAATTGTTTCTCATTTCTATTCACATTGAAATTGCATCACATAAACACTTCAGTAAACTCCACAGTGAAAATCATATGCAGTAATCGATTTCTATGGAAATTTTTATCGACACAGAAGTAGTGTCGTGCTGGCTCGAGTGAAAATGAATGAATAGTAAGAAAATAATAGCATCAGTAGGAGTTTATTTGTAATTCATATGGAGATAAGTGCTACAGAATGTGTGGTTAGAGAATGGATTTAAATCTGCATCAATCATGTTTACATGCTGTTTATTTGAAGCAACTACTGAAGTTTGGATGTTTAGGTTGTAGATTCGAAGATGTTGAGATAGATAATGACTTAGTAAGATTGAATTTGTAAGGGTTTTTCTCGTTAAGTTCATAATAACTGGAGTGTCTATTTGCATTGTAGTTTGGGGGTGTGCAACTTTATACAACTCTTCCTTTAATTTGTAATAATTATACAACCAACTTTTACTCCAAAAAGTTCACTGACACAACCTCTAATTTACATAGTTTCAATTAATCTATCAATAATTGATGCAATTCCTTTTATCATGAGACTATAAATTATTCATTAAGTTTCTTCCATTGCATGATTAATAACAAACTCAAAGCTTCATGACTCCAAAGTAAATTGCATACAATAAGTCATATATACAGCTTCCAATTCTAATTAATTTTCAATTTTCCAATATTCAATCTTGATATCAATAAATTAATTTGAAAATCACGAGAGACAAAGTTTTATGTTGCATCCCACTCGAGAGTCTTTAGTCATTCATTTGCTTCTTGTTCTGATGATGATTCTTTTTATAACAATTGAATTAAATACATAAAATATAATGAACAATACAAACTGTAATCAATATTATGAAAATTCAATGATATTTCATCTTATTTATTTGAATGGGTCTTTAAATATTGTAAATGTATGGGAAGATTAATAACGAAGAAAAAAGAAGAGAAACGCAATTCATGTCATGAACAATTTTTAATGCAACTCATCATTTTCAGCTTCTTGAATATTTTCATTTTAATTCGTGATTATTTTTTCGATGCATTTTGGTTGGATTTTTTTATTATTATTGGAAGTTATGCAAGAATTTGGACTTGATCCGGGTATTTAATGTTGCTGGATGTATTAAGCTGTAAATCTCACGTTGAAATAGCTTGTTGAAGCAATGCTTTGGTTTAATGTCGGTTTTATATCCCAATAGGTAGACTCTAGTAGACTCTACCAAAAATTAGAAATTTTTGACAACCTAATAGCTTTTAAGACTGTACATTACAATCATGAGCTCAATGGAGTATGATACAGACTCAAATTCATGTGTTATAAGTCACTGGTGCCTAATATCTCAAACTGACAACTACCATCAAAAATGCGCCTTATTCCTACACTCCAAAATAATTTCCTTACTTACATCTCCCCGTTAAAAACCATAACATTTAAACAGAATAAAAAATTACGATAAAATTAATTCAATGTACCAAAACAATTGTTTTTGTTCTTCTTCTTCATCAATCCATCTTCTTAAGCCGTTTACGTTGCATTCATGCTGTACATATACATACATGTATGATACATAAAAAAAAGTATGAAGAAGTGTCATGAAAAGGATGTTGTCTCAGGTGTGAGCTCTTTATATTAGTCATTACCTTTTGTTGTCATTACATCAGCTTATGGTGTGCCATGCCACCCATGTGTTTTTTTGTACATTTAAGCATGTTCCATATAAAGACACACACAACCGTGGATGCTGCTATTAATCCTGTTATAAAAATTATGTAAATTTTATTATTTTTTCACTTTACTCTCTCGTGTGTGTTACTTCCAAAAAAAATTTCTTCATCTTCTTCCTTTCGTCTTTCCTTTCACGCAGTGTCAAAGAAGTTAAATAAATGAAAGAATTATGTGAGCTCTATGTGCGCTTACAACGATGATGATGATGCTGATGAGCTCATTTGCATAACTGAGAATGTAGAATTTTTTATGTTGAGGCGATATGAGAGAATGGCAAGGATGTGGAGCTGAGATTTTTTGGGAAGGAGTTTCGTGTTATGTCAATTTAGAAATCTAGCTGGAAAATTTTGTTTTTTGGGGTGATCAATTTCAGAGGTGAGGCTAAAATGTTGATGTCAAACCTAGAAAAGTCATTAACCCCACCCGACTTAGTCCCCTTCTTCTTATTACAATTAATGATTGCGGAACTGTGAAAGAGATTTTATGGTAATGGCGATTATTGAATATTGAGTAATTTTTTTATTGCCAAAAATTTATGAGGTATAAAAATCTGAATGATTGAAAACGATGTTTTATAGCCAAAAAATTAATAGTATTTTTTATCTTTTTCGTTCTAATTTCTCAATGATCATTTCTGTATAAGATATATCTTCAACTTAGAGTGCCTATGGGACACTATCGGATATAAGCGATAAAATTATAAAAAACTAGAAAACTTACAAGCTGTGAGATGGAATTGATTGGTGGTATTTTGTTTGATTATTGTGTAAGCTCCTATGTGGAGCTTAGGTTACAACAAAAGACCTTCCATCTGACTCTGTTGCTGGTTCTGTCACCTAGTTTGTTCAATTTGTCGTTAACTTTAACTTTGTCATTAAGCTAATATTTTTTTATCACTGTTCTGCGACATGTAGCTTTTAGAGCTCCAGAGCGTCTTTTCTCTTGCGGATTCCAACCAGACACGGTGTAACAAACTTGTGTTTATGTCCCATCAATGACATTCTCCTGTTCGTACGTACTTCCTCATTTGAATCTCCTTGTTGATGTCTTGTTGACCTGCTTTTACTAGAAGCTTTTTGAACAATATGTTAAGCTTTAAATCAAATTTTCACCCTCATTAAACGTAGTGTCTCATTTACAGGTCAGTCAGCTCTTAATCGCAAACTCCTTTCATAAGTCTAGACTCTAAATAGCTCAAACTCAGTTGCACAACTTAAAATCCTAATCTATCATCATCCACAGTGTACAATCCCTTGCATAATTTACATCTCTTACATAAAAAAATGCATGAGTGACACTCGACAAACGAATAAACAATGCAATTCATAAAAATAGCAGCGAAAAAAAAAATTTTTGGAAGAAATAAATTTTCACTTACATGAGAACAACAGAGGAAACCATATGTCATAATCATAGCATTTAATTTCCATTGTAAATGTTTTCATTCACACTTTAAAAAGCACAAGAAATGAGAATAAATTATTTATTCACGACTTGACATTGAAAGTTATAAAATCACGAGTGATTTTATTTTTGGAGAATTTATTAGAATGATTTGCAATTTTTATTATCAACCGTCCATGACATGTGTATGCGTGATGCTTTGAAATTAAATTAAGTAATAGGAAAAGGTCAAAATTATCGCAAATGATCTAATTTTCCATATTAATTTACAGAATAAATGTGGAATAATGATTTAAATTCAAGCGTGCGGCAAATTATTTAAGATTTATGAGTTTATTGCCGGTACTGAATGTGAGAACAAAAGAATATTTAAGTATTTTAGATTTTTTTGAGATTAAAGTTTGTTGAGAATCTTGAAAATTTGTGAATTTAATCTTGAAGAGCTTGTGGTCGACACAAATGTTGTCTAAAGTCAACATAATCCAAATTAATTGAAAAATCGTCATATCCACAAATAATTAATTATACAAGCCATGCAAAACCCGCATGATCAAGAAGAATCAATAAATCTCAAAAAGGTCTTAAAATTGTTTTTGACGTCAAATTAATTAAATCAATATTACTCCCAAATATAATAGCAATCTTTTTATAATTCATAACGAAAATAAGCAAAAAAATAAGCACGGAAATGGTAAATGAGTCTGGGGATGTCAAGAACAAAAAAGAGTTTTATTTCGTGCTTACGATTCCATGACTATAACCTTCAAATAAAATTATATGAACAGCAAATAAAACAAATTGTAACATTAAAACACCTCAACAGGTCATCAAATACTAATCCAATATTATTTTCATTCTCTCATTGCAGTACGATAATGTTGAGGCATGCCTTGCAGTTTTAAGACAAAATCAAGTTGGTGGCTTAGAAACAATAACGACAAATGATATCTGCGCTGGACGTTTAAAAGCAGTTTTATCGCTATTCTTTAGTTTAAGTAGATATAAACAGGCATCAAAACTTAGAACACCGACAAAAGGACCACAACAGCTCACACATCAAGCACAAATTCATCATCAGTCTGTACAGAGTCTAAACTCGTCGCAAGGAGATATGACGAAAGAAAGGTAAGTGAACGTTGTGGTTGAAGATTTTATATTATAGGGATGAATTAGAGTCTACATATATATGCATTTAAGTGATCTAATTAAAAATTGAAGTTTAAGTTTCACTCTAATGAGCGGAAAAAGCTCAATAGCTGAGTGATTGGATATATAAGTACTTCAACAAAGACATAGATGCTATTAATACTTGCTACTCAATTTCTTTAGTACATTTCAAATGCTTTCTAAAATGTGGGCAAAACTACTGAAAAGCAGATCCATGTCTTAGTTTGCTACTCACTGATTATCATTTCAATGACTTTAAGTAGAACTTTTCAATAAAACGCCATCTATTGTTGCTACTCAATCTACTGATGGCTATTTTGATACTCGTGTCGATATCTGCTGGAATTTAAATCAATGTCTCTATTTTTTGGCAATCTAGATTAGCATGAGTAGCTTGAGCTTTGAAATTTTGTCGCAAGAGTGCCAGAAAGGTTGCTTTTAAATAGAATTTTGAGGAGAATGACTTTTGAATGGCTTTAAATGGAGTCAATCGAGTAGATTGTCTACCAAAATTATTAATAGGGATATGTTATATTTGTACTGGATAGAACTAGTATCTGATGTGTTTTTAATTTTGAAATATTATAAATTTTTCTATCATCCTTTAATTCCTGAAGTAAAGTCTTTAAATTTTCACAAATATATTAAATTCTAATTTATGTCTGCTCTAAGGCACACAAAAAAAAATCAAATAATTACACCTCCTTGAAAATTCCATTAATTTATCTCAAGTATCAACATACTCGAACAATCCCCACTCTGTTTATTCTTGATCCCTTCCAACATCATTCATTATTCATAGAAAGTAAACTTAATTTTAATCGAAAATGCTCTTTTTGTTATGTGGAAGTCAATTTTGCAATACAGCATATACATACAATAAGATAAATCTTCAATCACCAAAAATTGATGCAAACAATGAAGAAACGAGACAGAAAAGTAAGAAAAAAGTTTTATATCCGAATTTGATAAATGTTTTGGGGATGACTTTTAAAACATTGTGATACGACACGAAAGTTTACGTGCAAATCTAGTTGATGGCGGGAAAAGTAGTGTGTGTGAATGGGTGGATGTGTACGATATGAAGCTAATTTATGGATGTTTTATGATATTTGTATGATTATGGATAAAGTTTTGAATATTTTAATGAGAAATCGACACAATTCATCTAATTCTAGTAGATTCATATCCATTAAAATCAGATCCCTTAATTCATTTTCATTGTTTACCCAATTTTTAACTACTTTGAAACACATCCTTCAGATTTTCATTATCACTTTACAGCTCTCGTACTCTCGATAAAAATAAAACAAAAAGTTTTTTAAGGTCAACAAGATTATAAAATTTATGATTTTGGGAAGGGTTGATGCTGTAACATGAAACGATAATTACTAGTTAGACTGAGATTTTTAATGTGTGAGCATAAAGTTTTTTTTTGTTTGTTCTTCACATTTGGATAGTGTAGACTTGTTATGGATTTTGTAAATTGAGTTGAAATGTGCTGTGATTGCAAGGGTTGGAGGTTTAAGGATTAATTTTTAAAGATACTTACTTACTTCGCTGGCCGTACAGATCAATTGTGATCCATGGCCTCCCTTAGATGGCGCCTGAAGCTGACTCTGTCGCTGGCTTCCGTTTGCCAATTAACCATACCAAATGCAATACTGTCTCTGTCAACAGCTTCTTTCCAAGAGTTCTTGGGTCGCCCGCGTGTTCTTTTGCCATCTACAAAAACATTCTTAAAGACTTTATTAATGGGAGCTTCAACAGGTCTCCTAACGACATGTCCAGCCCAACGGAGTCTGTTGACTTTGATTCGTCGTACGATATCAGCTTCATTGAAAAGCTGATATAATTCTGCGTTACTCCTGCTTTTGTAAAAGTCACCTTCTCTCTTCGGTCCAAATATAATTCGCAAGACCCTACGCTCAAATACACCAATTGCGTTCTCATCTGCGATAGTCATATTCCATGACTCAGAACCGTACAACACTACTGGGCGTATTAGTGTCTTGTACATCACTAGTTTGGCATTTCTCGCTATTCTCTTCGATGTTAGTAAATGTCTAATTGCAAAATATGCACGCTGCGCAGCCAAGATCCTTCGCTTAATCTCCACTTGTGTGTCAAAATTGTTGCTAATAATCGACCCTAGGTAGACAAAATCATTTACCACTTCGAATCTTTTATTGCCAATTGACAAATGAGACCCAACAAACTTCCTCGTTCTTTCAGATGCTGCCACCATGAGAAACTTTGTTTTGTCTTCATTCACACGAAGCCCGATCTTGTTAGCTTCTCTTTCCATTTTGGAGTAAGCGTCGGTAACGGATCTGATGTTACGTCCAACAATGTCTACGTCGTCGGCAAAACCAAGAAGCTGAGTTGACTTTGTGAAGATTGTACCATTTAATTCCAAACCAGCTTTCCTGAAAACTCCTTCAAGCGCAATGTTAAAAAGCTTAGTTGACAGTTCATCTCCCTGCCTCAGACCAATCCTGCATTCAAACAAACTTGATGTTGAGCCTTGTACTTTGACACTTTTAAAGATATTTTTAAAGATATTACTCATTATATAGCTAAAGGAACAAGGAGGCGTAGTTAATAGGAATGCAGTGTCTTTGGGTCCAAAAATAACTTAAATCACCCCAGGCATGTCTTTATGAAAGAGATTATTAAGATATTTAATTATAAAAATCATTCTTTCATGAGAATCAAACCAAAGTTCAAAGAGAGGCTAATAAATTTCTAACGTCCCAAGAACTCTTAGAATGAAGCTGTTGACAGACACAGCATTTTATTTGGTATGGGTAATTGGCAAACGGTATCCAGCGATAGAGCCAGCTTCAGAAACCATCTAAGGAAGAACATGGATCACAATTGATCTGTACGGCCAGCAAAGTCAGTAAGTGACCAATTTCTAATGTTCAGCCTTACTAGAGACATTACTCTATGACTATCTAATTCGCCTCAATATTCCTTGATTGCCTGGAGTCTTAAATATATTTTAAATGCAAGAAATATAGAAATTCGTTCCATATTTTTTTATTATTTGAAAAAATAAGTTCCACAAAAAGGAAACAATTTAATAATAACAATCCCTTGAAAATCAACATCCGACATCGACCCTTCAGTTATATAACAAAACAACATTTCACATCCACAACTTTTCAACTCATAGTTCATGCTACATTCAGTTCCATTTGTGAGTTTATCAAATTTCAAATCATAATGATAAGTTTTACTACAATTTGTATTTTTAAAATACAATTTCTGACTTTAAACTTCCCTCTTGATATTTTATTTTGTCGATAAATTTTTACACAACATGACCCTTGAAAAATTATTTTTAAGTTCCGTTTTATGAAAATTGCGATATGCGAAAAACAAATATGCTGAAACATTTGTGAAGCACTCGAAAAATCTCACACATTGCCACTCAACGGCTTAAAAATATAAATTTCTGTGAATATGCTATTTTCTCTCCTTTTTCTATCAAACGTCCATTCATCCTATGTACACACACGAGAAACGGCTTGTTCAAGATGTCGAGTGCTATTAAATACAGTATATGCCATAAAATATATTAAATTTTATCCAATGTTCAATTTCTTTGCACAATTTTTAACGCGCACGATATGTGTGAGTGTGTACGCCATAAAGTTGTCGACCGACTGAATTAATTCAATATGCATCTCTGAGTTTTTACTGTTTTCTGTGTACTTTGCATGCGATGCAAAATAATTCAATGTTAAGAATGCCAACACACAAGCATGTAGACCAACAAAACCGACAAATTTCATTGCATGTTGAAGAACATCATCATCAAGCATAATTTTAAATTCTTCTAGATAAATGGAATGTGAAGTGTCCTGGCGGTGACATTTTGCGGGGTTGTTTCAAAAGGATGCGAGGTTTTAAAGTTTTTAAGCAATAGATCCGAGATTTTAAACAAAAATGCGAAATTTAAGGCAAAAGATGCGAGATTTTAAGGAAAAAAAGCAAAGTTCTAAGCACAAGATGCGAAATTTTAAGCAAAAGATGCAAGAATTTAAGCAAAAATAGTGAGATTTTAAGCAAAGGATGCAAAATTTTGAGGCAAAGGTGCGAGATTTTATACAAAAAATGCGAACTTTTGATAAAAGATGCAAGGATTGTAAATATTTTGTACAGTTTTGTACAAAACTAACACGTTAATTGCCCACAAAACATCCACAAGGATCAACAAACCTCAACCATGCATGCGGCAGCCTCAAAGTTAACAGTAGTAGCATGAAAATTACTCAATTTCCACAATTACGCTCATTCAGAATGTTTAAATCACTTGACTATCTGTGCATCGAGCTAAATGAATGAACATAAAATACACACATGAACACAAAATAGTAGGCAGACGTCGCACACTCACTCTCACTATCTCGTTCTAATCAATTTAATTTTCATCAGTGGATGAGGATGAAGTTGGCAGATAAAAAAATGTTTAAACAAATGTTTGGTCAGCTTGAAGCCATTCATGATTTAAAATGTATTTATCCGATACAAAATATATTAATAGGGAAAGTAAATCTCAATCAAATCCACTTCTCAATTTTCGTTTCATTGAACTTGACATGAGAATTTTGTGTGTACAATTAAGCACGTTTAAAATTTGCATTTTTGACTAGAATGAATTTGTTTATTTGTTCAATTACGGGTTCTTCTTGCCCACACAATACATAATGCAACCAGATGTCAAACAACTTTCAATATAATTATAATGCCAGGCTAAATTTAAATATGAATAAACATTGCAAATTTTGTGCAATTCTGTTTTAATGAACTTCAATTCATATCAAATGATTTACCATTCTTTCTTTTAATTTTTTGTTTATGAATGGAACTGCGATTGTTTGTGTAATGTACGGGTTACAGTGAATATAAGTGAAATTGGATTAAAAATCTTTGTTGAATTTAAATTGTGCG